TATATATATATATATATATATATATATATATATATATATATATATATATATATATATATATATATATATATATATATATATATATATATATATATATATATATATATATATATATATATATATATATATATATATATATATATATATATATATATATATATATAAAATTTTAAACATGAATAGTGGCATACCATTTGTATTAAATTCCTCTCACTGTAAAATTCTTCTATTGTCAAGCAAAAAGATGATCGCTTATCATGTAAAATGTCAAATATTTTTTTTTCTCTAGTTTACTTATTCATAGTTTTTAGCATATGAAAAAAGAAAATATGACTTTTGCCGTGTACATGTATAAGCTATTATTACATATTTTATATTAAAAGATATGTTCTCCTGAACAAATCTTAGTGAATAAGCTGTCAAATCTTTTAAAAACGATATAATGACAAACAAGACGATGAGACAAAATGTCAGCATTTTAGATTAAAGTCACCATTTTGAACGTACTATTATTGATACAATGACCTTGTCAGCAAATACAATTTATCATTGAGTCAAATGCTGACTGACATTTTTTATACTAATTGATAGTCCGTTATTTTACACTGACTTGACGTCGGATTTTTCTGTATTTTCCTGATCATTACAAGGAACACACCGCGGATGTGACAGGTCGGCAGGGAATGTTCACTCCTCTATAACACCTGATCCCATCTCTGATGTTTTCGGGGTCTTAATTTGCTCTGCGCCTATTTTGTTTTGTTTTATGGATTTTGATCTTGAGTACTGTTCGTTAAATTGCCAATATTATGCAAATCATTAGATTGGGAAGAGGGTTACAACCACTCCCATCCCCATCTGAACACCCTTTTTTCCTTAAGTTTTTTTATTCTAATGTCATGTACACAAAGTCTCTGAATTGGCTTGTTTATCTAAATATATAAGTTCAATCGAAAAGACTATTTTTAATTCCTTTAGGATTACCTTGATAACATTGTTTTTTGTCATTATTGTAAAAGAGACCAGATCGACAAGAGCATGTTTGGCTTTTTGAACAGACTCCTCCATAAAAATTACATTGCTCACTGATAAGGCATTCTTCTCCATATGAAGCACCTTTTTCATGGATGGAATCTAACAATATTTTAGCAATTACGACTAGAAATAATAATTTTAAAAGATAAAAGTTAAAGACGTGAAAACAATGTTCGTAATGTGAACCTTTATGCCTTTCTTTGAACAACAAAATTGTGTTAACGAATTGATAATTCAATTACTAGGAAAATATATATGAAATACAACAATGTTGTCAACAAACCAGGAACACATTTATCCATAAAAGTATATCCTATAAATCTTTCTTCACATGCGCAGCGATTGTTTGAACATTTTCGGCGTCCCTTTGAGTTATAGCATTGTTCGTCTGAAAAGCATGTTTCTCCAAGCTTCAAGTTTCTTTTATCTACAATTAAGTTGAGATAACGTTGTGGTTTCAATGTTTGCAATGGCAAGAAGGAAAAATCGACTTCGTAGTAAGATGTATAAATAATTTTATTTTTGTATAATTATAATGTGTAATATTTTGTGCAGATTCATATTTAATTCTCTCATAATGATTGGGCATTTCATGAAAATTAAAAAGGAAAACTTGGGCATTTTGTATTGCCCTGTGAATTTCTGAAATATCAGTGTAAACAAGGAGGACTTCTTGTGACTTAACCACGCCCCTTCGCCATTTTTTCTGTATACTTGTTTGCACCATTGTCAACATTAGGAAGGATATAATTCGTGTTACATATAAGGACTGCTAGCGCTGTGCCTTGTATGTAAAATATGCTAATTTTGTTCCTTTGTGAATTTTATCGAATAATTGTTTTTACGCCCCTGGATCGAAAAATTCCGGGGATATTTTTTGGTCCTCTCTGTCTGAGTGTCTGTTTGTGTATGCTTTCTTTTGGTCTTTTGTAAACGTTAACGTAGACAATAACTACTAGTATTGAGTGGTTGGAGTTATGATTTTTATATTTTACAGGTGTTTTCCATGTGACAAGACCTTTCTATTGGTACCACCATATTTTATCTCATGACTTTGAGTTTACAGCTTGAATTACTTTTACAAAAATACCAAACATAAATCTTGACCATTCCTTTAAGTACTATTCCACGTAAGAATCAGGCAAGGGGCGGCACATGAGGTGTCTCAGATTTTTTTTAAACTTTGCATGCTGGTAGAGTATACTTAGTGACTTCCTAAAATAAATTTATTTGTTATCAAATCAGCGTCTGGTTTCCATGGCAACAGAAATACTCTTTTCGGCTTATCATGACTGAAATTCCCTTAAAAAATATGCAAAATTGCCAATTTTCAAGTTTGAATTAAAACAAGATAGGAAAAGGTATCACAATTACGTTTATTTCTCATTAAAATACAGCTCAACTAGTAACTTGTCATAAATAATTATAATATAATTATGTCCAGTAAGGTGTTGTAATTTTAGACAGACAAGAGATGTTTGTAAAACACTTATGCCCCCCTCCCCCCAAATTGGAATTTTTTTGTAAGTCCAAGGGGCATAACTCTGTCAAAAATGGCGCGATTGTACCCAAAACAGAACTTGACCTAGATATTCATCTGATAAATCTGTATATTAAATTTCATCTCAGTATGTGCAACGGGTGCAAAGAAAATGAACGGAAACTGCAAATAATTGGAATTTTTTCAAACTGCAAGGGGCATAACTCTGTCAAATATGGTGCGATCGTACCCGAAACAGAACTTGACCTAGATATTAATGTGATATATCTGTATAGTAAATTTGATGTCAGTATGTGCCACGGTTGCAAAGAAAATGAGCGGAAACTGCAAATAATTGAAATTTTTCTAAGTCCAAGGGGCATAACTCTGTCAAAAATAGTGCGATCGTACCCAAAACAGAACTTGACTTAGATATTAATGTGATATATCTGTATAGTAAATTTGATGTCAGTATGTGCCACGGTTGCAAAGAAAATGAGCGGAAACTGCAAATAATTGAAATTTTTCTAAGTCCAAGGGGCATAACTCTGTCAAAAATGGTGCGATTGTACCCAAAACAGAACTTGACCTAGATATTCATGTGATATATCTTTATACCAAATTTCATTTCAGTATGTGCAACGGTTGCAAAGAAAATGAACGGAAACTAAGTGGACCGACAGACCGACCGACCGACAGACCGACCGACGGACCGACAGACAGCAGCAAAGCAATATGCCCTCCCTTCTTCGAAGGGGGGCATAAAAAAGGGAGATAATGCTTAAATGCAAAAACATGAAAATATTGATTTTAAGGTGATTTTCGGCCATTAAAAAATATAAAAACCCAACAGCCAAATCAAAAGATTATGTTTTTTTCCAAATACACCATACCCTGTGGCTAACAAAAGTATAAAAACATTTTTGTGCAAATTATATTAAATATCCGAAAATTATAGATGATTTTCATACAAAAAAGAGAAATTTCACTATTTTTGTCAAAGTCCAGTATATGCCATAGATATGTACATCTGAAATTAATATTACATTTCTAAACAATTTCTTATTATTTTCAACTCAAAATACAACAACACAAGTGCCTTTTTGCAATTTAACAAAGCATTTCCATGAACAGTGAAACTTTCTAATTTTGAACTGAAAAGGGGAGATAATCCAAAATATGCAAAATCATGAAAATATCAATTTTAGGAGATTTTCAGCTATCAAAAAATAAAAAAACAACACTCAACTTAAAAGACTGTACTATTTCCACAGACATCATACCCTGAAGCTTATAAAAATATAAAAACATTTTTGCGCAAATTATCATGAACATCTGAAAATTATGGATGAGTTTCGAACAAAAAAGAAAAATTTTTAATACTATTTTTGTCGAAGTCCATATGCCATAGAAATACAGGGTATACAACTGAAATGAATACAAATCTAAAAATTTTCTTTTTATTTTAACTAAAAATACAACAACACAGGTACCTTTTTCAAAAATAAATATTGTCATACTCATGCCCTGTAAAATCTCTCTAATTTTATACTGGCAAAGGGGAGATAATCCAAATATGCAAAAAACAAAAATATAGATTTTAGAGGATTTCACTTTTTCAAAAATATAAAAATCAAACATCCAACAGAAAAAGCTGCATTTTTTCAAAAGACATCATACTCTATGGTATATGAAATTAAAACATTTTTGTGTAAAGTATTGCATGTATTGGGGGGATGATTTCTAACAAAAATGAGCGATTTTACTTTTCTATGTCAACGTCCAGTATACGCCATAGATGCCTGCATGTAAAATGAATTTTACAGTTCAAAACAATTGTTTTAAATTTTCAAGTTCAAATACAACACAATTCTATGCTTTTTTTTCCAGTAAATCAATGTAATAATTTTTATGTCTGCCCACTAAGATGCTCTAATTTAATTGAAAAGGGGAGATAATCCAAAAGTGCTAAAACCTGAAAATATCAAATATCTGAGGCTGTTTTTGAGGTCAGAGAATATTGTATTCTTCAATTAGAAAAATCATTAAAGTGACTAAGAAAATCTTCCTAAATTGTATAATATACAACATGATTTTTATTTACACACTGATATATATTTTATGTTGTCCTTTTTGTACATGTAATACATTTCAATCATAACTAGAACATGTAAATATATTCATGATCTGAGCGACATTTTTCACACATCACACATGTTTGCCATTCAGGTTGATCATATACATGTATTCAAATGACTTTCAAAAAATTTCTACAAAGTTGAATTCATGAAAAATAAATCTTTTCATTAAAACCTCACTACTGGGAAATATGTAAAACAGAATATCAGAATTCAACACAGTTTTTCTTTTGAAATCAACAACTACCATTTGTTTAGTGTTCTATCTTAGTCTTATACCGAGACATAAAACTGTAATCTTTAGTGCTTATAAATGCATGGAAGTCGAAGATAAAAGTCACTGCCAGATAAATTTTATCCGAAGTGTTGAACTGGTCTTCTGAACTCCAGTCTTTGTTTATTTGATGATGTCATTTCCAGAGATTTCTGAAATAATAAGGTTATCAATTATCACCAAACAATTGAAATTTATTGTATAAAAGGTTTATCAAAATTGAAGTTTAGGAGTCAGTATTGAGTATTCATTTATTATGGGACTAATATTTATCTTACATTTGCTTTATTACATTTGAATAAGTTATATAAGAATAATGAAATTTTATTTTAAATAGAAATTATGAAATGTGTACAATTTATTGGGTCACAACAAATATACATTCAAACAAACATGTAAATGGACCTGCATGACCAAGTCAAAGACTCAAAGTCATGGCAAAAAACATGATAAAAAATATCTATGCTCTCAACAATATGAAATTATGAATCTGCAAATAAACTTTCATAAAAATATCATGAATATTTTCTGTGAAACTGGGCTAAACACAAATCACAAATCTAAGGAATGTGATTGTGAAGTCAAGGTCAATGTTGATGCAGTTGAATGGCTTCTTAATGTACAAATGCCACATGTAGTTGTACTGTTTGTGTAAAATTTCATACAAAACAGAGAATATTATTTTTAGCATCTTTGGTGTAGGCAATCGATGCCATAAATGACAAACACAGTTCACTGACATTGCACCATTTTTTTTTTTTTTTTTTTTTTTTTTTTTTTTTTTTTTTTTTTTTTTTTTTTTTTTTTTTTTTTTTTTTTTTTTTTTTTTTTTTGGGGGGGGGGAGAAAAAAAAAAAAAAATCAGAAATCCTTTTAAATGTCAATTGTGTGTGTATGTCAGTGTTAGAAGGTGAGGGGTGGGTGGTTTAAATATTCTTCTTCTAATCTCAAATTGTCCACTCAAATACATGTACTACATTTCTCCAACTGTACAACATAGGTGTGTGTGTCACTATGTATGGGATGGGGGAGGGGGCTGGACTTTCAATAAACATTTCATTTATATGTAGTAAAAACAAAGGGGGAGCCCCCCATCAATACTAATTCAGTAAGTTCCTGCAGTTAATAAATCACATAAATGAATACAGTCCAAAGTGCAAACATGTGTTGCTTAATTTTAAATACATCAATTTAAGCATACATGCATATCTCTACATACGACACAGACTGATCCTTACCATTGAAATGTTTCGTCATCTTCCAGTTCAAGACTGTGAGATAAAACTCTTCTGTTTCAGTCACTTGGCATTACATTGCTTGCATATGCCTGGAATTTTCAAGACATTAAATAAAAAAAAATATGTTCCTTTTAACATGTCTATAAAATCATATAATTATGCTACTTCACTTTTTTTTAATATAGATTTGAAGTGAACACAATAATGTCTTAATGGACTGCATCATCAAATACTTCAGAAATTACCCTCAAACACCTTTAATCTGGCCAGATTTTACAACAATTGTATATTATAGAACATAGGTATCAGGTCTGTTCGCATCATCTACCTGTTCGCACGAGTCCGTTTGTGCAGGGTTTGTTCTTGTTCGTCCTTATGTCCTGTTCGCCATAGATCCTGATCACTCTATTGTAAATATTTACTCATGGATTTCTAATCATTTTTGTTTTTTAAAAGATAATCTAGTTTTTTTTCCATCTGTACTTATTGACTTTATTTCTGATTTTAATATTATTTGAAGACTGATTTGGTTAAATTGCTGTTAATTTTGTTATTACTGTAAGAGAACTTCTTCTTTGTAAGTTTTTAAGGGTTCATATCAGCATGTATGTTTTGAAAATAATTAAGGAAATTGAGAGTGACGTTAACCATGAAACCGTTGAGCATGTTGACAATACATATAGTTTTAAGAATCTTTTATTTCTCATTTAATATTAAATGTACCTTACTGAACATAAATTCAAAATAATGTTTATCACATCAATTACTAAAAATATTTTTTTTTTTTAAATTCTGAAAATAAATTATAATTTAAACCAAAATTCAAAAAAATCAAAGGAAATTATGAGTATTATCCAACTAACATATGGGCAAATGGAGCAACTGTTAAATTTTTTTTTTAGAGTGAGCAGACTCAAGGCGAACCACAAAAAGAGCTAACGGCATCAAGGGCGAATGTATACATGTTCTATGCTTATCTGTATCTGTATCTGTATTGTTACATCACAGTAACCCCGTTGGGCTTTGATGTGACGGATAGAGGGCGCTTAGTCGCGAAGATGTTCTATCGCCAACTTAAAGCTTTCTAGCTTTGGGGCGCGGACTGCTTTCTCTTCCAGGTGCTTCCAGTCAACAGCTGTGCGTACAAAGAGTGAATTTTTCAGCTGGTCTGTCTTTGTATCAAGTATCTCAACTGCACGGCTGTTATTCCTGATCCTATTACTTATGATATTTGTCGCTTGATAATCCACGTACACTTTCGGTCTGATGTTTCTTTTCGGTTTTTGGAATTTTATATATTGGTCTAATTTAATAGCTGGTATCTGCCCCTCAACCACTTTGTAAAAAAAGATGAGACGTTGTTGTTGACGTCTAGTTTGTAATAAGGGGAGATCGAGATCTTTAAGTATCTTTGTCATTGTACCCTCTTCCCTTGATTTATAGTCTTTGGTTATGAATCTTGCGCCTCTTCTTTGGATGGATTCTAATTTTGTTGATTCTTGTTTGGTGTATGGATCCCAGATGACAGCTCCATACTCCATTATAGATCTCACTAGTGCTATATATGCAATCTTTCTACATTCCCTTGGACAGTGTTGTAGGTTCCTTCTTAGGAAGCCTAGGGTGGAGTTGGCTTTATTTGAGATGTTGTTTATATGTTCTTTTCATTTCAGGTCTTCTTGTATTTGTAGTCCTAAGTAGGGATTTGATGCCACTTGTTCTAAAGTGTGGTTCTCAAGGGTGTATTGGCTGTTTATTTTTTTACGAATGCTTAGTATATAGCATTTTTTTGCGTTAAATCTCATACCCCAGTCAGATGCCCACTGTTCCAGTTTTTGTAGGTCCTTTTGTAGTAGGTTTTGATCTTTGGGTGATTTAATTTCCCTGTACAAAAGGCAGTCGTCGGCAAAAAGCCTAACTGAAGATTTTACTGCGTCAGGGAGATCATTTATATGGCAGAGAAAAAGTATGGGTCCAAGTACTGTTCCCTGTGGTACCCCGGATTCCACGCTAGTGTAGTCCGAGTATTCCCCATCTAACTGGACTCTCATTGTCCTTTTTGTTAGGAAGTTTGTTAACCAGTCGTGGATTTCTCCCCTTATTCCGTATTGATTGAGTTTGTGTAGGAGTCTATCATGGGGAACAGTGTCGAATGCTTTCGAGAAATCCAGGATTGCTACGTCTACTTGATGACCCTTGTCGTAGGATAGTAACATGTCGTGTATGGTTATAGCGAGTTGGGTTTCGCAGGAATAACCGGACCTGAAGCCGTGATTCAAGGATGTTAATATTTTGTTGCATTCCAAATGTTTCATCATTTGTCGACATATGATATGCTCTAGTAGCTTGCAGGGTACTGATGTTAAGGAGACTGGTCTATAGTTTTCAGCTGCGTGTCTATCCCCTTTTTTGAAGATACACGATATGTTTGCGCTGAGCCAGTCTCTTGGTAATTCCCCTGTATCTAGTGATTTTTGGTATATAATCGACAATATTGGTGCTATTTGGTCTGCACATTGTTTCAAGACTCTATTTGGGATGTTATCGGGTCCGGCTGCTTTTGATGGATTGATGTTTTTAAGCAGTTTTGCCACGCCTTCTTCTCTGATGGTGATTCTTTTTATTCCTGTTTTTAGGTTGATGTTTGTCGAGGGCATTGTTTTTACTTTCTCCTTTGTGAAGACTGATGAAAATTGTCTTAGGAGGATCTTTGCTTTTTCTTTGCTGTCATTGATTAAATGCCCTTTATCTTTAAGGGGTGCTACTCCGATGTTATCTTGTTTGCGAGATTTAACATATTTCCAGAATGGTTTCGAGTTGTTCTTATCCATGCCTTCCAGGATTGCTGTATTTATATAATTCCATTCTGCTTTTCTGATTTGTCTTTTGCATTCTTTTTGGTGGTGTTTATAGTTTGTCCATGACCCTGTTCTTTTTGCTTGGTTATACAGGTTTTGTTTCTTCTTGATCATCTTTTTGATTTTGTGGTTGATCCATGGGAGCTTATTGTTGGATTTTATCATTTTTGTTGGTACGTTCTTTTTTAGGCTGTTGAATAGGATGGTTTTGAATGTTTGCCACATATTCTCTACGTCTTTGTTGTTCGTATCCAAATCAATCAGTAGGTCTTTTGTTTCTCCAAGGTCTTTGGTTAGTCCTTCCCAATTCGCCTTTGACCATATGTATACTGTCCGAGGGTTTTGTTTCTGGTAAAACGGCTTTATATCTAGGTCAGTAATGACTATTGCATGATCCGAGATGCCTGGGATTACGGAAGATGATTTGACTAAGGAGGGGTTTGTTGTGAAAACCAGGTCCAGGTTGTTATTTTCCCTAGTGTTTTCCCTTTGAGTTTGAGTTAACCCCGCTTGAGATGTGACATCTACCAGTGAGTTCTGTACCTCTTTGTCCGTTGCGTTTCTTTTGAGTCCTAGATTGTCCCATAGTATGTCTGGGCAGTTGAAATCGCCAGCTAGAATGATGTTACTTTGGCCATCTTCTGAAATTAGTTTGAGTGATTTCTCTAATTCATCTACAACGTTGATGTTTCTGTGAGGCATGTAGAATGCACCTATTAGTAGGTCTTTTGCGTTTTTTAGTTTGATTTTTATCCAGTCAATCTCACATGCTGTTACATACTGGGGTTGTTCCGTGGCTATTATGTTTTTGTTGACTAATATGAATACTCCTCCTCCTAATGTGCCCCTGTCATTTCGGAAGGATGCGTAATTTTCCGGAAAGATTTCTGATGATTTGATGGCGTCTTTTGTGGGGTTTTTCCCTGGTTTTATTCCCTTCAGCCAGGATTCAGTCCCGATTACAATGTCCGGTTTGGTATAGGATATTGTAGTTTTAAATTCTGATGTTTTGTCTCGAATACTTCTGCAGTTAACCGTTAGTATTCTTAGATTCTTTTTCTTTGGTAGGTGTTGCATTGGGTTCGTTGTGTTTTTGCTGATATGTTGGCTTTTTTGAGTTGTATATGATGTTGCATGTGGACTTTGTATGCTTGATTTAGGACTACTTGTTTTGAGTGGGCTAAATTTCGATGTAAATGAGTCCAAGAAGCTTTCATCAGAAGAAAGAGGTTCATAGTAACTGGTATTTTCAATCTCATAGTAGTGGTAGGTGAAGGACGATATGTTTAAGCTGTCACACTTGCAACACATCCATTGGACATTGGATCTATGTAAGAGTTCATAGTCCATTGTGCACAATTCAATGCACGAGCGGTGATGCCAGATGCTGCAGCAATCACAGCATACGCCTTCATTGGACCATGTAACTGGTCTTTCGCATAACCCACATGGGAAGATGTGTGCGGCTTTGGGTCCTGGGTTGACCTCGATGTCGCCTGCTTGTATAATAATTAGTAGTGCAGTGTATAATAGATTAGTAGTGCAAAGCAGTGCTTTGTTTGGCTGGTTTCTTACAGGTAATTGGATCGGTCTTCTACTGTATGGCATAAGTTTTGTGTTAAGGAGGTTAACATTTTCTTGCTGTTTGAGCCAGGATTTGTTGTTATTCAGGCTTAGGTATATAGATAGGATGGCAATAATGAACAATGGTTTTGTATGCATTCTTTAAGTTGGTCTCTACTGTAACAATATTTGATGGTTTACAGGTTTTCAGTATAGTGAGGAATATCCTCGCTTACTGAATCAGAGTTGTATACTTAGCAGTATAGCGTTTCAAATCCAAATGAACTGGTCAGCCCCCCCCCCCCCATATACTTTTAAATTACTGTTTAAAGTGTAATCAATAAACAATTTTTCAAAAAAGTCAATTTTGTATAAAAATTAATCTAACCTCTTTCAAAACTCCATTGCTCTCACCTTCCAAGTTGAGCAAGTGCCTAAGCGGTGTGGACGGTCTCTCCGTGGGCTTACTTTTGCATTCAGCTGGAGGGCCTTGTAGTTGAACTTCTGACATTGTTCTTACTTCATACTGATATCGGCAGTATGAAAAAATTGTCATCACCTTGATCAATACGAGTATAGTAATTCCATAGACATGTTATACACAAGTTGCTGCTACAGCTCACCGTCACCGTATCTCTCATCAGATTTTCACTTCGTTTACTAGTGCTTGCATCCATAGTTCTGTTCTTGTGAAGTCCTTTTATGCAATTTATGTCAGTTCACCCAGAGATTTGCAATAAATAATGCACATTGCTCAAATACAATTTTGCAAAGCGATCTGCCATGGAGGCTGCCATTTTTATTTTACTAGCGCCACCTATGTGCCCTATGTGTAAACTGCCCAAGGGAGATAATTTTTACAAAGAATTGTAGCAAATTGCACTATTTGATTACCCTTTAACTTTGCAATCATTCATTTGCACAAAAATATTAAAGTATATTTTATTTCTACTTTCCATCATTATTGTATTC